AGCTGTGGTGTATGCCACACCACAGCTCCCTTGGGAGAGTGACGGGTCACTCTCATATGACCCCGTTACAATGCTCAAATCAATCACACAATATTATCGGCTAAATTCTACAGAGCACAAAGTGTCGAATTTGAGGATCCACACTAGCCATTGTGATCATTGCTCGAGTGTGGGCTGCATGTTTTTATGAGTATGGCCTGCGGTCGATACCAAAAACAGAATTATTCTGACGCAACGTTAACCTCACCGGTCCCCACAAAACGGAAAACATTACAAATGGAGCTGCAGCGAGGTAAAAGATGCGGCTTTAATGGCTGTGTCAGAAAGCCTCATGAGTATCCCGGTAATGGCTCTTCCGAATCCAAATTGATCATTTTTTTGTTATCTGTGACGCTTCAGCTTTAGCCGTCGGGTGTGCTGTACTCTCAAAAGATGTCGGTTACCATGTATACAAGATCACGATAGGGCCTTGTCAGATTGAGCGTTGGAGAAAACGGCGTTATTTATGACAAAGGGCTCTTTGTATTGAGATATACCTCGTTAGGTCCAAGGTGCACCTGCGTAGCTCCAAGCGGTTTGTTTACTATCTAAATTAAAAAGTTATTGTCATTGGCAACGTCGTCAGCACAAAAAAATCACCTAGGAAAGGCAAGATGAGTATCCTTCTTTGCTAAGTGTGTTTGTAAGGTTAGATGTAAGCCGAATTGACCTAATGCAGTGGCGGATTCGCTCTCGTGTCGCCCCGACTTTTGATTGTCGCATATCTCAATGATAACGTCGTTAGTTGATGACATGATAAGTACACATGCAAACTGTGTCGTTTCGCTATAAGCGTTGGGAAGCAATCGACTTATGAGCTTAAATGTTATTGTTATCAAAACCTCTGGTTGCATATGTCACTGCTACTCCCTATATCACCGAGTACTGTATTTGAGCCATGATCCACTTAACACTGGATGCAGCAGGGCTGCCGTAGCTTTGCACTTCGAAGAAGCGTAAGTTTGGTCATCGACCTTCGTTCTATACTTAGAGCAAGTACGCGTCTAGCGGATCGCAATCTGCTAACTTCAAGAGTAACTG